AGGACACAGGGAGGCTAGCCTCGGTGAGGCTAAGCAGCACTGTGTCCATACTGTTCCTCTTCCCATGCTGGTATGTTGTGGGAGCTTGTGGGCTGTGTCACAGAATGCCCAATTTTGTACTCTGGAGAACCCACACTCCTTGTTTAGGATGAGAGTTCAACTCTCTTACTTGTTTAATCCCAGCCCTGTCCTTACTCTGCATGTGTCATTCTGTGTTTTGCATGATTTTAGTATGGAACTGACCTCTTCCTTTTACCGTGCTTAATCTGTGTCTAGCTCTGGCCATAGCCTTTAGCAGCTGGCATGAGGTTCTGCAGGCCTCTGTCCTGCATTACTCAACAGGCAATGGGATAGAACTCTTAATCTTTCCCCAGCTATGGTAACTGGGAGGTTCCCCTCAGTTGTTCTCCTTTCTTTATGGGGCCCTGGTAATTTTGGCCTTGAATATGCCATGCTCTCATCAGAATGTGCCTCCCCATCTTAGAGAAGTCCTGGAGCTGAAGCACTGTCTGAAAGCCTCTGACACGCTGGGATTTTCTGGCCCATTTGAGCTGAGCTGATGATGCCTCTTCTCTTGCAGGTGGGTACCAGGGCTGTGGCCATGGACACAAAGGTCACCCTGGCTGCCCGCACTGGTCGTGCTGTGGACAGGTGAAGGAGAGCTCAGAGTGTTCGGGTGGGCCACCCAGCGGCACCTCGCAGAGGAGTTTGCTCAGGACAGTGGCACTCTGAGCCACCAGGTGATTTCCTGCAGCCCAGGGTGCTGCTGCTGCCTCTGCACGGGCACAGACCATGAGGATCCCCACCATCACTGCATAGCCTTGATGGCTGAAAACAACATTGTGATGGGTAGGAACTGGGAAAGGGGGATGAGGGAAAATAAAATTGTGCCTTATATTGCACCCAGGGGTGTGTGTGTGTAAGGTTGTTTTGTGCCTGAACAGGAGCAGACTCAGAATTGTAGCACATCCTACACTTCTGAGAGGGTCAGGCTTTAAGGGGAAACAGTCTGATCAGTTACCTCACAGGAGGGTCAACATACGTCTCATACTGGCAGGATTGACAGTCTGTGCTGTCCTTCTCGAGGAGGCCAAAGCTGCATGTTGGGGCATATTCCAAAGGGTTTGTGTTCGTGCCTCGGAAAGCCTTGGCAGCCTGAATATGGCTTCTGCTTCCCTGTTAGATACATAGCCGGATTCCAGCCTGGGATGTTGCATTATATGCATATAGCACAGTCACACTCCTAGGAGCTGCTGTTGTGTTTGCAACTCTCAAATTTTCTCCACATAAGAGGTAGTCTCATTACACCCTCCCTGCAAAGTAGGAGCAAGGTGGGTTAGTAATATATCTGAAGGAAATCCAAAGAAAATCCATGGCACTGATGGGAACAGGAATTAGAAAGTCATTCACCCAGTCTGTATGTTCTTCATGGAGATGGTGTGGGACATAACGCTGCTGGGGGTGGTGGAGGAGCCAGGAGAGCACCCAGCTTTCCAAGGAAAGATTTGGGCACAGTCTGAGCATCAGTAGGAGCCATAAGCACAAGTTTGCAGGTGTTTGTCCTGAACTGGGGCAGCTAGGCAAGAGCAGCAGTAGGTGGAATACAGCAAAATTCCTGGATTTGGCTTGTGCAGTCTTGGCAAGGCTCTGTTGTTTAGGAGAGCTTGTCCTGTTTCCATAGTGGAGAGGGGGATGTATCTCCTGGGCTTGTGCATGCCCTGCTAGTTACCCATCATTGGGTAAATGCAATTTGTGATGAGGGGGAAGAGGCACTTTCCAGGAAGGGCAACTAATAACCTGCTGCTCTCCTGGGTGAAGCCTGGATACTTTCCTTTATGAAATACATCTGTGTCATTGAGACTGGGAATGCTACTGGCCGGGGGTAACCTTGCTAGTAGGTGTGTGTTGCTGGGGCTCCTAATACTGCCTGGGGAGCTGGGGACAAAGGTCTGACTGTTGGTCACTTGAGGAGAAGAATGCTGCTCCAGTGTCAACAGTAAGGACTTGTTCTTGCTTTATGGCTGAAGATGGCTGGCTAGTAAATAGTAGACACGTGCTGTCTGCTTGCTCATATGTAGAAGGCTCATTTGTTGTCTGTTGCTCTTACAAAGCCACTTTTGGAACATCTGCTCAGCAAAGGAGACATATATCCTTACGCAAATGCTATTTATAGCTTTCCAGTAATCATCCAGAAAGGGCTGTCAAACCAGCGGGGGAAGGTTGGGCAGTTTAACTCTCCAGGTTATGCAATCTAAGCATCCCAAGGCGCTTACTCTGACATTTCAAAGTGAAAGTTGAATTTGAGTTAACCTTTAACAGAACAAACAGTAACTCGTTCTTGTCCTTGCTATGTGGAGAGTCAGTGTTCAGTACAGAATGTGATTTAAAATGAAATGCCTCATTTTCTGTTTCTTTCTGTTTCTTGCCCCCCACTTGTATGTTGTTCCTTCTTGGAGCTTCCATGCTGTATTGCAGAGGGAACACGTAAAGATGGCACTACCTTCTAGCACATAATTTCTGTCTAAAAACATCTTCATTAGCTCAGACAGAGGAATGTGTTTTCCCTCTGTGTGAGGCATCCCTTACACACGCTAGCACTGACATTGTCGAAGAAGCTGTTTGTGAGAATTACACCAGCAAACATAGAAACCCTGCAGGGAACTGCGGTCAGGTTGGGCTGATCTCTATGTTTGACATGAGGAGAGCAGTTTCAGACAGCATGGGCTACTTATCCTGCCAGGGCCAGGCCCTTGAATTGATAATCAGACCTCTCTGCTTCTGACTGGCCTGGTGGGGGAAGCTGAGATGTTCACCACTTCTTCATTCTTGAGAGTTCACTGCTTGGGCTCACCACTCCTTGGCTGAGTTCAGTTATTTAAGCAGGACAGCCTGGAAGACTGTTTCATGTGAAGGAGAGGAGCTGTGCTAAACAGTGTGGGACCTTTGGACACCTGGCGTGTGGCTTGTCTTCTTAGGTGGTGTGGCCATGGCATCCCAAGGCCAGGTCATTTTCTGGAGGTATGGTATTACCTGTATCTGCTTTGGGAGAAAGGAGGGAGTGAATTGCATTTTCCAGGCTCCTTGTCTGTCTCACCCTGCTATCAGGAGCTTTCAAGATAGCAGTTCTTTGCAGCTTGACTTTATAGTACGCTCACCCAAGCTACCTAAACACGGGCACAGCAGTGACAAACTTGCTTCAGCCTCCAATGAACACAGACCAAGTTTGCGTCTAACCTTGACTGCTTGAACAGGGACACCAACAAGCTGTGTCTCTTGATCCCAAGTGGGGATTTTTCTGGGATGGATGGAGGCAGAGGCTCCAGCAGAGTGTGTGGAACACCCCTGCTTGCGCTCATTCTGTCAGAAACGTTCCAGCAGTGATGAGCATCCATCTCACCTGAGCTCAACAGCAGTGGGGAGAAGGACAGTCCATGTGAACAGAAGAGACCTCTCACACGTGAGCTGTGCTCCAGCTTTCTCACATGGAGCATCAAGGAAGAAATAAATAGAACTAAATAAATACTGCTATTATCAGCACCTTTTCACTGATGAGAGTGAGATCACCAGTAGGCATAATGTAACACAGTGTGAATATTCGCTGGGCATCGTATTCCTTATGCTTCTGGAATGCATGCAATAACCATCTCTGTTGTTCCCAAGAGGCAGCCCAGTTGCTTTTGTCAGGGAGATGCACTGAGAACCCCCTTGCACTGAGAGCCAGCCCCTGGCTCTGTCACCCAACCCAAACCAACCCAAACCAAATAACTCCCCCCCAAACACTAAACAAAATAAAGCTGAAGTGCTGAGAAAAGCTGAGCTCTGCAAGCATTAACTGCTCACTGGAATGGAAACCTTTCTTCTTGGGTTTCCCTTGCCATGCTATTTCTTTTCCATGGTAAGCTTTGATGAAAGGAGGAAGGCAGGGAACCTTCAATCTCTTCCTTACAGGTTTTTTGGTCCTCACACCTCCAAGCCCGTTCCTGAAGCAAAGCTTACTCAGGTGGAGGTAGAGATGAGGACGATTATGCCTCTGCCGCCTGTCACAGCAGGGTGGCGAGCTTCTCTGTCCCTGGGCTGTGCTTGGCAGCATTGGGTTGGGAATGAATGAATTTCATGCCCAATTCTGTCGGCTGATGAGGAATGGGACTATGGAAAAGAGGGTAGGATGCATGGAGCAGCATCCCACAGGCTGCTGAAGCGGTGCTGGGAACTGAGTGTGGCAGCAGTACTCCAGCTTGTGCAGCCCCAGCCATCTGCATCCGTCTGTTCCATTCCTCTGAAACACTGGAAGTATGGGGGGTGCTGATGTCTGGGAAAGTGCTGTTTACTTGAACTGCTGGACTGGCCTGTTGCAAAACACAGCTCCTGTCAGCATGTGGCCGGGTTGCCAGTGTCCTCTTGTTCACCCTGCACTCAGTACACATGGGGGGCTCACAGGCAAATTCAGACTCTTGTGGTTCTTGGCTCTTGCAGTTTCTGTGGAGGACACTCCAAAGGGTCTGATTTCTTCTCATCCCTGACAAGGGGTGCTGAAGTAACACCCCTCCCTGAAATGAACGGCTTCTCCTGTCAGCCCTGTTGCTGTCCTGAACCAGGATGTGGAAGCACCTCTCTGGATGCAGAGCTAGCAAGGCTTTGCAGCTACAAGGGCACGTGGTGCCTGTAAAGATGGGGGACAAAACCACAGGTGCTGGCCCATTTTTGCTGGTCTTTGTTTGTCTGTGAGCAAGCTGAAGGTGGTTTTGCCCAGCAGAGGTGGTGGTCAGGCTGGAGGGTCCTTTCGAGGACCAGAGACAAGCATGGTGGCACCTGAAACGTTCAGGGACTGCACAGGAGGCATCCTGGCTCCTGGTCCCCTGCCATACCCCCTCTGGTATTTACTGATATAATCCCTTGCAACCTGCAGGCGGCATCCCTCAGCTCCCAGCAATTTCCTCCCTGCCCACTATTGGGAAGGAGGATTTGAATCTAGAGGGGTGAAGGCAAATCACAGCTTCCGTGTGTTAGCAGCTGCTGCTTGCTCCATGCTTCCCAGGCGTCAGAGCTGAGGCTGTTCATGGCAACCTTGGCTGAGTTTATAGCAACTATCTCGCTCTGGGATCCACACCGTAGATACTGGTGGAGCTCCTCAAGGAGGTGGATGTGATTCAGCATACAGAAAAGTCTTTGTGTCTGCCCCAGAACAGGAAAGCACATGGGTCCCCAGATGCCCAATGCCTGCGGCTGGAGGATATCCAAATTTTTCTCCCCGGTAGGGTGAACTGTGACCACAGCCGCAGGGCACCAGGAGGGTGCAGGCAGAGCACTGCTGTTCACCCTGGTGGTGAGCAAAGGCTGGTGAGATCAGGGAGGAAGACAAACACATTGTGTCTCCCAGCTCTGAGGGCATCTAGGCAGGGAGCACTTGGATACAAGATGTGGACGAATGTGCAGACTCGTATGAAGCCTTATGTGGATTTACCACATACTCGTGGTGAAATACATGGTTTTGACCCCTCCTCCTGAGCACTCTGGTATGTGCAGGCAGGGCTTCCTCAGAGATCCTGCTGCTGGCTTTAAGGATGAGGACGGAAGGGAGTCAGCAGGAGGTCAAGCAAGCCTTCTGCATGACCTCCCCTCTCCATCCCCTCTTTCAATCCATCTTCCCTTTCTCCCTTCCCTGCTGTTCCCTGCAGGAGGGGTTTGCTCGCGTGGCTCCATATCAGCCCTGCGATCGTGGCATCTGCAGTGAC